TGAAGTTGCTCAGCGGCAGAGTGCTTGCCTCGCAGGCTCTGGGTTCAAACCCCCGCACCACCGAAACCAGAGCACACTAAGAACTTCACGTCGGCCAAGCCCTTGCCTCACGCCAGACCTTCGCAAAGGCCTTTGTGCACATTACCTCACCAAAGCCCCACAGCAATCCTCTGAGGTAGACACTATTATTATCTCCATTTTATAGATGAGGAAACGGAATCTCCCAAGGGTCAAACTGCTCAAGTTACACCAGATCAGATTTGCTGGGAGTGAGGCCATCGTCTGTCTCCAAGCTTGAGCGTTGACTCACTCGGCCAGGCTCTGTCTCCGATGACACAGGCCTTCCTGACACAGGCTGATGATCTGCGGCAGCGGCGTAAAAACTGAGGCGTGACAGCCTTTCTTTGTTCTGGCAAACTCTCTCTCCCTCCGTCTTCCGCCCTCCCCACCTTGGGGTCCGCCGTGGACACCTGGTCCCGGAGCGAGGGTAGATAGGCTCGGCGTGGAGCGGAGTGGACCTGGAGAGGGGCTTGGGCTTGGCTGCCACTGAAGCACGGTCCCTGAGCAGTGTGGGAGGGCACGTGAACTGACTTTGTCATTGGCTAATTTGGGTTCTTCTGCTTTCCAAACAATGCCAGGGCGGCTGGGGCTGGCTGACAGGTGTCTGCCCCTGAAATGGCTGACTCTGCTACCCATGGTCTTGTAAGGCTTAACTCTCCTGGCCTGAGACTGCGTTTCCTCCCATAGGCTATGGCCTTTCTAGCCCCGGGAGAGACAATAATGACTTTGGGAACCAGCGTGGCCAAAGGCTGGACACGCATCACCCAGGCCTTCTAATTCACCAGCCCCCATCCAGTCTTTCTCTTAGTCTTGCCCCAACCCCTGTTTCCAGCCTAGAAAGCCCTGGAGACTCCGCGCACTCCTCTTCCCTCCCTCCTTCCAGCCCAAACTGCCCTCAAATTCACAGCAATCCTCCTGCCTCGGTGTCCCCCGTGCTGGGATAACAGACATGCGCCTTCATGACCCACTTCTGTTCTGTTAATTCCTCACTGGGTGGAGGGCCGAGTTCTGATCGTGAGGGTCGTTCTCTCAAGACACAACTTCTATCAGCAATGCCTCAGATTTTTCCCCGGGACTTTTAAAAGAGGCTAAAGGAAGTCCATCAGGCTGTCCCAAGCAGGGGCTCCCCAGGAGGCAAAGAGGAGTCCCTTGGAAGCCAGCCCCTAAGGTCATGACACACCCCTAAGCCAGTTGACCAATGAGAAAGTCAAGGTTTTAAGAGAGCCCTGGGGAGCTGGTTTATTGGGCCTTGAACCTACATTTAGGTTTAGGTTCTGGAAGGTCGGTGTTAAGGTTGGGGATGACGCTGAGGTGGGGGCGGGAATGGGGGTGAGCTAAGCTGCTGATTCAGCAGAAAGTAGGAATTGGGGGGGGAAGCTGGTGAGGCATTAGAATAAGAGCAGTTCTAGCATTTTCCATGTGCAAGTGGTCATCTCAGGAAACAGAGGGCAGTGAGAATGGGGGGTGAGGTTACGTGCGGCTGAGTGCATCCTTCAGCTCCCTCGGTCCCACCCTGGGCTGGAGAAGCCCCAGTGCCTGCAGGGCTTCGTGCATTAGGAGAAGGCTGTCTTCTCATTTGCTCAGTGGACAGCTATGGGCCTCAGCAAAGCCAAGGACAAAGATGGGGTGTGCTTGGATTAGACGGAAGTACGGAAGTGGAGTTAGTTAGTTAGACTAGTGCTGAAATTAGGGAAGCACCTGTGACAGAGGGACCGTGTGGTAGATCAGAACCGCTCGCCACATGGTCTCTCCTGTCCATGGTCTCCTGGACTGTAGTCTTCCTCCACTGACCTCCTGTCATGCCCCCAGCAGGAGAAAAGCACACTTTCAGGAAGGGCAAGCCCAAGAGGGCTCTGTTTTTCTCCAGGAAAGTGTCAGAGTCTGCCTTAAGACTGCCTTGCTTTGGGTACACTCTGCCTACCGTAGTTCTTCTCACTGACCTTGCCGAGCCCGCTGCTTCTCTGGCTGGTCCCAAGGGTACCTGACCATGAAGCTTGGGGCCCTGCAAGTCACTGGAGAGAGCCCGTTAAGTTCTTATTGTTGCTATCATGAGCCACCACAAGCTTAACCATTAAAAAACAACACGCGTTTTCTTATTGTCCTGAAGGGCCAATGTCCAAAAACCAGGCTCCCGAGGCTGGGAAATGGAGTGATTGCAGGCCTGCTTCCTTCTGGAGGCCGAGGGAGGCTTTTCCTTTTTCCTCTTCTCAGTCCCGGAAGCCACCTGTGATCCTTGGCTGGCACTCACTTCCTCTGCCTTGGAGGACAGTGTGCTGCATCTCTCTTCCTTGACCTGTGTTTCATTTACCACATTTCATGCCAACCCTGACTAAGCCTCATGCCTCAGCCTGAAAAAAGGCCCTGTGGTAACTCAGGAAAGCCTCCCATCCTTCACCACATCTGTCATGTCCCTTTGCCATCTAAAGCATCATGTTTACGTTGTCATTAGGAGATGGGCGTGTTTCTGGGACCATTATCCACGTGCCCCAGGAAGTTCTGCTTGGGGACTCAGGAGAGCTATGAGTGCTGCTTCTGGCTCCATGTCTGAGGAGAAGCCAGACACAGCCTGAGGGCTCTGGGATAGCCGCCCCTGTAGAGGCAGAATAGGAAGCGGGGGACTTGTTCCTGGACAGAGGTCAGCAGAAAGGATGGTGACCTTTATTGTAAGCTAGGGGACCGGTCAGGAGAAAAGTAACAGCGGGTACACTTGGTAAGGACAGCGACTGGGGTAGCAGAGCAGCAACACTCAGGGGTAGATAGACCCCTAGCTAGACAGAGAAAGACTCCTGCTGGGTATCACAGGGCCTACCTGTGGGTGGGCTCTGGAGGTCTCTGCACCTACTTTCCTGCTCAGAAAAATTGGAGCATGCGCAAGGACTACAGGGCACACCAGACTTCGTTTTGAAGGCCGCTTCTGAGTTCCATCAGGAGACAGACCCTAGAGAAGTCTGCGGGCTCGAGTGCAAAGCCAGAATTGGGGCAGAGTGCAAAGCCAAAGTTGGAATCATGAGTTGGGATGGACCTGAGGGAGAGAGCTAGATGCTGGGAGCCACATGGTGTGGAGGGAACGCAAACAGAGGTAGAACACTGGGAATCAGCACAAGGGGCTCCAGGCCCTGCTTTTCCCAAGACCCTGCACATGGCTTTGTATTTCCAGAGCAGAGGACGCCCTCCTGGGTGGTCTACATTGACAGTGACATGCCGTGAGCACATAGTCACCTAACTTTCCGGTTGTTTGGGTCCTCGTTTGTGCTTCCATTTTGTACTTTGTCATATCTTTGCTTTCCTTTTCAAAAAGCAAGGTAATTCATGCACACAACTCATTTTCGGTGTGAGGTCTTAGAAGAAATTTATCGTGGGTGCTGGAGAGAGCTTGCTGTGCACTGAGTTTGACCCTTAGCGCGGACATCAGAAGCTGGGCACGTCACCCCAGCACTGGGGAGGAAGACACAGGCTGGTCTCTGGGGTTCTCTGGCCGGGCAGCCTAGATGAATCAATGGACCCCAGGTCCCAGTGAGAGACGTCTCAAAAAAAGTACAGCAGGCGTTTCTCAACGAATAGTACCCTAGGTTGGCTTCTGGCCTCCACATTTACCAGTACACCTCTGTAACACACATGAATGCAAGACACACACACACACACACACACACACACGCACGCACGCACGCACGCACGCACGCACACGCACACGCACACGCACACGCACGCATACACGCACACACGCACACACTCCAAATGTAAAAAAAGAGATTCACAAAAATGCAAGGCAATAAGCCCCAGTGGACCCTTCTCCAAAGCGCCTAGATTCCTCTGCTGCAGCTGTTCTTTATGATTGACACCTGTCTGTTTTCTACTCCAGCCTCTCTACTTGGAATCCTATGCCCACGCCCCACAGCTTCTCAGACCCTGCCCTTTCTCCCGGGCAGCCATCCAGCAAGAGGCTTCCCAAACCTGCCCTGTTAGAACAGGCTTGGAGTCATCTCTGCTGGGCAGAATATTGGCATCCTCAGCGCAGGCTATTTCTTCTTGGTGGGCACTGGGAATGCCCTGCCTTAGCTCATCCTTGCCCACCAACTCCCTCCCTCCCTGAGCCTGCTTCTGACCTCCCACAGGGGTCAATTCTCTGCCTGTCCTGCCTCGCCTGGGATCTTGGCCCACAAGATGACCGACTATAATAGCCACAGGATTAACATAGCAGGCATTGTCTTTCTCTGACTATAGGGTGGGTATTATGTGTTCATCAACAGTCCTAAAAATACTTGGTAAACAGGTGCAGCCCTGTGGTCCCAGCCTCCTGGGGTCAGTTAGCCTCTGATTGACATGAAGATTAAGCAGGGAAAAGACTGTTAGTCTCCTTGGGTTCAAGAAATGGAATGTGGGGTGCTTTTTGGAACCTGGGAAATGGGGACTCCTTAAAGCCCACCTGAAGAAGCCTATAGAATGTCTGCAGATCCTCACGCTTCCAAGAGCATAAAGGTGGCCCTGCTGCCACTGTGGCTCAGCTGGGCCCCAGAAACATGCCACCCAAATCCTGCAGGGAGCCTCCTATCTCTCACTGGCTCCAGAGTCACCAACAATTAGGTCTTGGGCTTTTGGAGGTTTTTGGAGCATGGGCTGGGACTGCATGTTCACAGGTCCTGGCAAGAGAGAAAATGTCAGTCTGCCACTCCCCAGTCCTTCATGGTTCCCCAGGCCTCCCAATGCCCAGATCTCCTTCATCCCTCTTCCTGTTCTCATCTCTGGGCAGCTCCACATCTGCTCTGGCCTTTTGTTCTCTGTCTTCCCCCCAGTGGAGTGCTGAGGCTCTGTGTGTGCTCCCGATGTACACACACTGGTCTCCAAGCCTGTGTGCCCTGTGGTATACACTGCAGCACGTATCCACCCTGCGAGGTGTGTATGGTGGGAGGGGGTGGGAAGGAGGGGCAGCCGGGAGGGACAGTGGCTGTTCTATTTTTACTGGCCAGTTGCCGGAGGCCACAGGTTTCATAGCCTGCCCTCAGCTCTGCCCCCACACTCTGCAGTCTGTGCTGAGGCTCAGGCCAGCCCGGCTCCACGAGGACTAAACTAGGTAAGTGTCTACAGCCCTCCATGACTGTGGGCCTGGGCAAGCCTGGGGAGAGAGCTGGGATTTTGTTTAAAGGGGAAATAAGGTTTGGGAGATGGAGGATGTTTCTTGTTTGGGTAAGCAGGTTTGTCGGTAGAATACTCTCTAATACTCCTAGCCCTTTGTCCTATAAAATGGCACCTCTCCTGTAAGATGCTGTGGGAGGCGAAACCTGGAGGGACAGAAGTGCCCAGCATGCTCCTCAGGAGCCCGAGGCAGAGCCTAATGGACTATGCTCTCACGAGGGACTGCAGCCAGTGGCATGAAGGACCGTGCTCCCCGTGGGAGGGGTGGCGGCGGGGATCAGGGAGTCACGGCAGAGGGTCTGCATTTAGGGGGTGCCTGGGGAAGAGTGATAGTGACCAGCACCTGCAGTGGCAGGACGAGGAGATAGATGGCTGGCATGCAGGACTCTCAGGGGGCAGGTCCAGAGCCCTGTTGGCCAAGGAGACCATATTATTTCTTTGTCCTTTGTCTCTGACAGGCGCTCTTAGCTCTCTTTGCCCATCTCAGCTGCACAGAACACGAGCAGGTAAAGACAGACGGCCGGTTCTCTCCTCTGCTTCTGGCTCTGAGTTGTAGAAGGAGTTGTTGGGGTCCTCTCGTGGGGGAGGCAGGTGCCACACTGTGATGTTGGGAGGAGTGGGGGGGATGTGCTAAAGGCAGCCCCTACCCCAAGTTTGGAGGTCACAGACCCAAAGAAGTTCTAACACTGGACTTCCTGGCCACGAGCTTGGGAATCCAGCTTGTTAACACCCCGCTCAGGAGCGTGGGGATGCCCTTGAACTAAGACCCAAGGTCAGGGGTGGGGAGCAACGGCAGAGCTTGAGTCCAGTTAGGTGGTCGTGTTCCTGTTAGGTGTGTCAAGAGGCCAGTTCCTTTCTCTACGCTGTCTCTCACCCAGGTCTACACACTCACACACACTCAGGCTTGGCATGGAAAGCCGACAGCTTTTCCACACTAGGGGCCTCAGGGCCCGGAAGGTGAGCCTTGAGTCAGGCCCCAGAATCTGTTCCCTTCCCTCCAGTTCTGCCTTTTCTGTTATCTCCTGGTCTTCCACTTGTAGTACAGATGGAATTCAGCCCTCCAAGTCTCCCTGGAGGGGAGGCCCCTGCTTGTCTTCCACAGAGCCTGTCAAGGGGTCCTGTCTGGTGGGTGTCAAAGCACAGGTCAGGGCCTCGTGCTTGATGGGAGACCCCTGGGCCTGGCATTTGTCAGAGAGGCAGTTGGGGACTGGCTGGAGCTTGGCGGGAGGCCCAGGCTGGGCCCCAGCTGTGGGCCCCACCCTGGCGACAACAGGCTTTCTGAGGGATTGAGGAAGGACAGACATGGCTGACTGCCCACCAGGGCGAAGCACATCCTGGGGAGACAGATGTGAGACCTACTCGGCTACGACTTGCATTCCCAGAGGCCCGACGGACGTGGGTGGGGTGGATCTTTGTCAGCCAGTGTTTCTTTTTGGACTTCCCCAGTGTCTTCAGGAGAGCAAAGCCCTTGACCAGCAGCTGTGCATGGGATCTAATTTCAGCTAAGCATGTTGGGAATGCATGGATGGTTCCCACACCTCTTCCCCTGCACCCCACAGGGACAGCTGAGACTCCGGGGTCACCTCCCACCTAGCCTCACTCTCCCCAAGACAGAAGCATAGGTGGAAAGCTCCCTAACAGGCTGGGATTCACGAGAGGGGGGCCAAGCATGGTTACTGGGCTGGGGGGGGGGGCGTTCTTTATGGGCACAAGAAGGGTGGCTATAGAAAAACATTATTGGGGGGCCCTTGCAAGGGTCCTATAGTGCTCCAAACTAGGTTCATGAACCAAATATAAACATGGGCTTTGAATTCCACGCCTGCCCTCCCTCTAAACGCCATTCCGCTCACTCTTCACTGTCTCAGGCCGCCTGACCCACCCTCCACATTTGTCCCCAGCCTGGCGGCTCCCGCTTCCCTGGGCTTCCTCACCGTCATTTCCTCTACTGTCCGCCTGCCTACTCCAGGATGCTCTATGTCAGGGCCCAGACAGGAGGGTGAATCAGGCCGGTAGGTTTTGCAGCCTTCAGAGCCCCAGTGTGGCCTGGGCCCAGAGACGGCCTGTCAACGGCCTCGGACGGCTCCATGGCTGTGCCTTCTCAGAGGATGCCGGACTCCTATGCCATTATGCCTTAGTTACTGAACTTGCTTTGCTTCCTAGTGAGATCTGGTTTGAATAAAAGGTCCAAGGGCTAAATATTAAGAAGCACAACACTTGGCCGGGTGGTGGTGGTGCACGCCTTTAATCCCAGCACTCAGGAGGCAGAGGCAGGCAGATCTCTGTGAGTTCCAGGCCAGCCTGGACTACAGAGTGAGTTCCAGGACAGGCGCAAAGCTACACAGAGAAACCCTGTCTCGAAAAACAAAAAAACAAAAACAAACAAACAAACAAAAAAAAAAAAAAAAGAAAAGAAAAAGAAAAAAGAAAAAAGAAAAAAGAAGCACAACACTTATCTAAGCTCCAGTTCTGCAGAGAGGGTAACCGGCCAAGAAAGAGTGAAGACACACTAGATTTTTTTTTTTTTTTTTTTTTTTTTTTTTTATCTCCTGCCTTAACCTCTATACAGGGCTTCTTGCCACCTACCCAGGGCTGCTAGGCACCTATTGAACGGCACCTCTGGAGCTGGGCCAAAAGGTACCTAGCTGCCAGCTTCACGTCAGCTTCCGTTCTGCCCTGCTCCTCCTGCACCGCCCCTGAGTCCTAATCCAAGGGTGAAGTCTGAATTCAGCTGCGTGTTCGAGTCTCTCTCGATCAAGTCCCGTTCTTGACTTTCCAACCACGCTGTCTACAGATTCCCTTCTGTCTTGTAGCACAGTCAGTGGTATTTTTCTGGAAAATAGCCGTATGGAAATGTGTTAGGGTTTGCAGGTCATGGGAGGATTTTGTCCATGTCTTCTGTTTCGTCAGATGAGGTGTCCTGTGGAATCTGGCATGTTGACTACTTCCTGCCATCTGACTCCCCACCCCTACTAGGGGTTCACAGCCAAAGGCACATCTTTTCCATTAATGACTCCTCTGTATCCCCTAGGTACCGCCTTGATACCACCATGCCGGAAGTGTAAGTTATCCCCATGCAGGGCTCCCGGGAGGCATGTCTCCCTTCACCACAGACTTCAGCCTGACAGTCGTGGACAGCCTGGTTCACCCACCCCTCCCCAAGCTACTCCCAGCAGCAGCTCCGGAGATAGGGATGGACCTTAGTGCCTGGTCCGCACTCACTGCTTCCCTGAGGTGTCCAGTTCTCTAAGCCCAGCAGAGCTCACTCCCAGGTCACCCTGGAGGACGTGTTTGGCCTGTGCTTCAGAGATGGCTAGTCAGTGCTGATCGATGGAACTGGACACACTAAACTACCACATCATGTGGGCATGGCAGATTGATGCAGGCCCAGGGATAGAAGTTTTTGCTTTAACTGTGGCCTTCTATCAAAGTTTACGTGGCCTCCCACTAGATCCCCTACAACTATGAATGACCAACATCTCCCAGAAAGAAAGTCCAGTAGCCTAGAAGGTTGTTGGGTTTTTATACTCTTATGTTCTGAAACCCTGAAGTGGTTCCCCCTGCCCTATGGCTGATGTCATTCAGACATGTCGTCACCACCTGCACCCTCCTCTCCAAGCAAATCTGCTTGGTTCTGGGGCTGCTCAGGTCATGTGTTTTGTTCCAACTCACTCTATGCTCTGCTCTTCCCTCCGGTCCTGCCTACGATGGATGCCTAAAGTGAGGTGAGTGATCTCGGGGTTTCTTAGTTCTTCAGGCTGATGCAGGTGGGGTGGGCCTGAGAAGTCAGAGATTGGGTCAAAGCCAAGGTAGGGATGGGGGTGTCCGTGGCTGGGAAAACTCTCAGGAGACGACGAGAAACTACGAGTGAAGGGAGTCGATGGTCCAGGGCACAGCGCCCCTCACAGACATTCATGTGACTGGGACCACAGGTCGGGGCGTGACTTCGTACCTTTGCTGAGTGAAAGTGCTTCCCTCGGCCTCTCTCAAAGCTCCTGCATCCTGGGGGGCATCATTCTGCCTATGGAAAAGCTGATGCTGTGTGAAGCCACATCTGAAAGGTGAAGGCTATGACTGAACATTGAGGAAGGAGCGAAGCTGTGGCCTCAGGTTCCCCTCAGGACTGTGGTCACCCTGGTTCTGGACACCCTGTGGTCCAGATTTCTTCAGGCTGCTGAGAACGCAGCCTGAATATGGCCCGAGGGTGGGGACTGAAGGAAAGGTGATGTGCTGACTCAAGCGGAGAGGTATCGTCACTGGCTGAGGGAACACCTGGCCTGGATAGTCTCAGGAGAAGCAAATATACTATTTCCCAGTGACCTATGAACTTGAGTTTTGCTGAGGCTCCTCTAAAGTGGGTCTCCAGGGACTGTTGGTTAGCGGAAGAGGCCATACACTTCCCGAGTGGTTGGGAAACAGGACCGTGAAAGGTCATTCCCCACGGTGTGTCTGGGTGGGTGAACCAGGGCCTGTAATGGCCACCGCAACTGGCCGTTTCTCTCATTACCTGGAGTGTGGGCTTCCAAAGATGCAAAGATAAGCCACTGTGAGCAGATCGGAAGCTGTGTGCTCAGTGTGCCAAAGCTCATCCATTGCCTCTCCCAGCCACGCCCACAAAGCCTCATCACTTCTGCCTGACATACTGCGGGGACAAACCACAGCTGTGCTCTCTCAGGGTGGATCACGCCTGAAACAGGCCGGTACTCCATGGGAGCAGCAAGGAGAAACCCAGGAGGGACACAGGGCTCCTGTCCTCATCGTCCCATTAGTTAGCAGGGAGGGGGTTCTGTCACCTTCACCACACCGGGGGCCACTGCCACAGGGCTGGGACTTTACAAATTCTTTTCCACAAGTTCTTTCATGATGGCCCACAACATGTGAGCCTCCTGCCTCAGCCCCCAGAGTGCCGAGATTACACACATGACCCACCATACCTGGCCCTGGAGGGAACTTACAAAGAGCTATTAAAACATACCTATCTAGTCATCAAGAATTTGCCTGCAGCCCTGTGGTTGGTGGCGCACGCCTTTTATCCCAGCACTCAGGAGGCAGAGGCAGGTGGATCTCTGAATTCGAGGCCAGCCTGGTCTATAGATTGAGTTCTAGGGCAGCCAGAGTTACACAGAGAAACCCTGTCTCAACAAACAAACAAACAAACAAACAAACAAACAAACAAACAAACATAATTTGTCTGCTCGTTTTGATTAGAAGACACAGCAGTGTTTTCATATCGTAGAAATTTATGTGGGTGACGGTGACTTATAAAGCAGTTCGATGTCCACATAGACACGCTTCACTTATTTGGGAAACATGTAGCATATGTCTCTGGCAGGAAAGAACATCAAAATACAGCTTCATTATCACCTGGAGCACTAAAACATACACCCGTTTTAGGCTTTTCGCAAAGGTTGCTTATCTGTGCCCTCATTTTATCTTGGTGGCGTTGTGAACTGAGTACAGCTGTCAACATGCCCCTCTGCAGATGAGGAGGTACCCGTAAGAGGCATGCTTGCAGATTCCTGCAGAATTCTGCCAGCCGCAGAGTGGGGGCTGGAAGGTGGGGCTTCAAGGAAGCTGCCTGCAGCCTTCTCTGAACTTGACTGGTTCAGTCCCTACGATGAGCTTGAAAAGCCCTAAAGTGAGCAGAGGATTCTGGGTAATGATGAAGCACCACAGCTGGTCCTGTGCTGGTCTGGACCAGAATTCCAGTTTTATAGCCTTTACCTTACCGCTGGTCTCTTCTTCTCATCCTCAGAGGAAATCCAAGATCACTGCCTCCCGCAAACTCATGCTGAAGGTGAGGCTGGTCCCATGGAAGATGGAGGGGCAGCCATGCAGCCTTGAAGGGGTGTGGAGGGCAGGGAGGGGAAGGAGGTGACCAAGCAAGGGTAAGGGAAGAAGCCTGGCCATTGCCAGAGCTGACTGGTGACCAGTGACTTGTATCCTGCTCCTCCTGGGGAGGGATTCCTAGGTGGAGGGAGAGGAAGGGATATGGTTCGTTTTGATGTTCCTCTCTTTGGAGCTCTGTGGGACAAAAGGGCTAACAAGGAGGGAAGAGGGAGACTGTGTGGGTAAGCCAGCTCCGGGGCTCAGGAACGCCACTGCACACATAGCTGGCACTGAGCCATGATGGCCTCAGACCTGCCGAGTCCGGAGGCTCTTTCCCCTCACTTGATGATGCTGGCTAGGGAATATGAGGAACCAGCCTTGGCTCAGCGGCTTTGTCCTTTCCAGAGCCTGATGCTAGCCAAGGCCAAGGAGTGCTGGGAGCAGGAACACGAGGAACGAGAGGCTGAGAAGGTGCGGTACCTAGCGGAGCGCATCCCCACACTGCAGACCCGAGGCCTGTCCCTCAGCGCCCTGCAGGTAAGCCTGGCCGGCTGGGAAGGACCCTCTGTGGGTCTTGAACTAACACAGCTCTGTAACCTGCAAGGTGCCCTCCCACCCACCCACGCCAATGTGATGCCCCCATTTTATAGACTTGAGAGGGGGGTCCCAGAGGGGAGAATGGAATTATTGGGACTGGCTTCCCGTCAGTTGGTGCAATGGTCTGGCCTGGGGGATGGGCAGGATTTAGGCAAGCCCATTCCTCCAAAGATTTGCCCCTCTGTTTAGAGATGAGTCTTTACTGTTTTTAATTAGTTAGGAGTTGCTTTAACGCCAGTGACTGAAGAGAATAGGCTAGATGCAAATACTTGCATGTATCTCCCATGGCAGTGGCTATTTTAATTTTATTATTTTTTGTTTAACATGTAGTTGCCAAATTTTCTGCTATTAACTTATGTTACTTTTATGATAAGAAAACTATTTTTGAAGAAAACAGCTATGAGCCTGGTGTAGAGGCGTGTGTTCATAGTCTCATGCTCAGGAGGGAGAGGCTGGAGGATTGTGAACTAAAGCTTTTTTATTAAAACATTTGTATACACTGTATTTTGATCACATTTCCCTTTCCCCAGCTCTTCCCAGATTCTTCTTACCTCCCAGGCCACTCAACTTCATGTTATTTCTCTCTCTAATAAAAGAAATACAACAACAAAAAAAATCAAAAATCAAAATCAAGAGGAAAAAATATCAAAAATCAAAATAAAGAGGAAAGGAAGGAAGGAAGGAAGGAAGGAAGGAAGGAAGGAAGGAAGGAAGGAAGAAAAGAAAAAGAAAATCAAGAGTGTGGTGGTGTTCACTTTTTATCCCAGCACTCAGAGGCAGAGGCAGGCAGATCTGTGAATTCAAGGTCAGCCTGGTCTACAGTAGAGAGAGCCAGGACAGAGCAACATACTGAGACCCTGTCGGGGGAGAGGGGGTGTGTTTTCAGGCCAGCCGGGGCTACATATTGACATGATCCAAAAAAAAAAAAAAGTTAACATTAAAAAAAAAGCTAGGAAAAGAAAGCACACACAGCGCAGAAAGGAGAGCCAAGGCGTATGCTCTGAGGTGTTCCTCCGATGGAGTCTCAGCAGCTCCTGCTGGGATTACAGGGGGCCATAGCGCCAAGCACGCTGAGTGTGGAGACAGAAAAGGGAGGCTGGAGCTGGCGGCCCCTCCCCCTCCTCCACTCTCACGCCATCACTCTGCTCCCTCAGGACTTGTGCCGAGAGCTACATGCCAAGGTGGAGGTGGTGGACGAGGAGCGCTATGATATTGAGGCCAAATGCCTCCACAACACCAGGGAGGTAAGGCCTAGGGAGGGCGAGGAGGAGGCTGGGCCTGTGCGGGGTGAGTAGGGTGGACATCAGAGGGACCACCTCTTTCTACGGGGCCTTGGAGGCAGCCTCTCAGCATGAAGCTTTAGTTTTCCACGCTGGCACCACAGGCCGGCAGATGGGCGGGAAGGATAGCCACACAGGAAGAGAAGAGACTTCCTCCCCACCTGCCATGTGAGCTCCTCAGAAGTGCCTGTCTGCGCCCACCCACACAAGTAATCGGTTGTCCGGTAATGATATCTCACCACTGTGAAGGGCTTTCATGTGTGTTGCAACCTTTGATCCTCCCTACGTGCCTGTGGGTGACATGGGGACTATGTCCCGACCCTGACAAATGAGGACGCCGAGACCCACAAAGGCTAAGAACTTGCTTGGCTCGAGAGTCACAAAATGGGGGTCCCAGTCGGTACCCCACTCTCTGATTCCTACTCCTGTACTGGATACTCGGTGCTCCTTCAGGGTGGGGTGGGCGAGCATCAGGGCCAGCCAGTAGAGAAGAATGGGGGAAGGCGGGACTTCCTGTGCAGGCGGGCTGCTTCTGAGCATTCACCCACGTTGAGCAGGCACATCCCTACCCATCTCCACTTGCCAGGACACTGCTGTGTGATGTCATTAAGCTCCAGAGAACTCCCTCTTAGCCCACACCCTGGGATTCCTAGGGTGTAGGATTTAGGGTTTTGTTTTTTTACCTGCTGGGTCAATCTAGGTTCAGCTGCTTTGCAGGTCCCCTGGGCAGGGCCTGTCAGCACAGCAAGGATGGAGGGACAGAAGAAAGCAGCTCACACTCCACACAAGGCTTCCAAATGTGAATGATGGCTGAATGGCTTTTCATTTATTTGAGCCTTGGTGAAGGGGAGCGGGGGAGGTTAACGACTGGGCTTAATCTGCAAAAGTTGGTGGTGACTGTTTGGAAAAGGATAGATAGGTGGTTCTGAGCGCCTCAGAGTGTCTAGCCTGGAGCCTGGGAGACTTGGGGGGTGGCTCTAGCTGGAAGCCCAGGAGTTGGATCCCCAGGAAGAGAGGTCCGGGTCTAGCGTCCCCTCCCCAGAAGCCTTGCTCCTTCCCTCCTACAGATCAAGGACCTGAAGCTGAAGGTGCTGGACCTCCGTGGGAAGTTCAAGCGTCCACCCCTGCGCCGGGTCCGTGTCTCGGCTGACGCCATGCTCCGAGCCTTGCTGGGCTCCAAGCACAAGGTGTCCATGGACCTACGGGCCAACCTCAAGTCTGTGAAGAAAGAAGACACGGAGAAGGTGAGGGCCACTCTCCTCAGACACTTCCTCCTCCTGCCTACAGAGGCGCTCTAGTCAGTCTGTGATCCAGAATGCTCTAGAACCCCCTATGAGGTCAGTGTCAGAGGAGGGATGACAGACTGCTTCCGGTCTGAGGGGAAGATTGGGCAGGGGAAAGGCTGACGGAGGAATAAAGTAAAAACCTTGCTCCCAGTGTCAATGAGAGGGTGACCACTGCCCCAGTCACCACGGCTTCTGGTTGCGGCTGTAGGAACCTGAGTGTATAGAAATTGGAGAACTGAGTTCGATCACTTGGCTAGCAAACAACACCTTCAAGTTTGCTGGCCACACAGGCTAGGCCCAGAGCTGACAGGACTGTGTTCTCAAGCGTGAGAGAGCGATCTCTGGTCCAGGAAGCCTGATAAAGATAAACAGGCTCGGCAGTCTGCTGACAAAAATGGAAACAGGTCAAACGAATCAGGGGACGCTCCTTGGAGGAGGTGACCCTGAGCTGCAGTACGTCACCCAGGAGGGTGTTGTGGGGTCTTGGAGGCGAGGCTGACCTGTGATACACTGAAAACCAGCTCTGTGACCCCACCACAGTCACCTAGAACCTCCCACCCACACAGCCTCATACTCTCTGTGGAGCCTCAGCCTAGCCCGGGTCCCTGTCCGGTAAGGCATCTTCCAGCACATGCTGGGCAGGAGCATCAGGATTTCCTGTCCCGAGAAGAGGTGGATTTTCTTCCACCTGATGACTCTTGAGCTCAGGGGGCCTTTGTTGCCCCTCCAGCCTGGTGAGTTTCTGACGTGTTTGCGAATTGCCCACAGGAGCGGCCAGTAGAGGTGGGAGACTGGAGGAAGAATGTGGAGGCCATGTCTGGCATGGAAGGCCGCAAGAAGATGTTCGACGCTGCCAAGTCCCCGACCTCACAGTAGAGGTGCCTGTTTGTCTTTGAAGTCCCTCAGAGTCCCTAGGGCACTCGGGATAAGTAAGGGATGAGAGGCCAAGGCTTCGTGCAGGAGAACTCTTGGGAGTCAGCTCTCTTGAGTGCAGGCCTACTCTATCTAGTCCCTTCAAACACGTGTCTGTATCAGGGTCCCCTCACCTATAAAACTGGGGCTTGTACCAGATCGGTGGTCCTGGGACTGGCAGCCTCCATCTGTTCCTAGTTGCACATGGTTGAACTGGACACTGTGGGGCTGGGGGACCCTAGAAATCCTGAGGCAAGCCAGAGTCTGAGAATACAAGGTTAGATGATCCCCGAGGTCCCTTCAGCTCTAACTCTCCAAGAATCTCAGGTCTTTGACACATGATTTGGTGACATCCTTTACTTGTATACCCTCAAAGAAGCACCCCAATCACTGTTGCCAGGGAGGACACCAGTTCAGAGAAGCTAACCCCCCTCCATTTTTCTCCAGAAAAGTGAGAGCACAGAAAGGAGGTGTAATAGACAAGTCCACAGGCCTCCCAGAGCAGGCCAGGCTTTCTCCCCAGAGCAGATTTCAGCTACTGATAGGAGAGGGTTCACAAATGAAGGGGAAGGGCTGAGGGTGCAAAGGTCAGCTGTGGGACCAGACCAGTCCTGGAAGATGACAGGGCAGGCTAGAGCCAAGGAGCTTGGGAAGGGTGTAGAGACAGGGAGCTCAGGTTGTGGGCGGAGCAGCTGAGGAGTCTCATGGGTGGTACGAGGGAGAAGCCCCAGGGACTGTGGGGGACGTGTGTGTCCATCAGTGACGCCTCAACAGCACACATTTCTAGGATCTATTTGATAGCGTCTCCGCTCTGTCCTCACAGGTTGCCTTGCCGTATGGCACTATGGGATCGTGCTTTGGGCCCCTTCCTCCAGCCCCACTCACCTATCTTCCTGCCAATGCCTAGAGCATCCCTGCTTCACCTCCCCCCTCTCCCCCCAGCCTACATGGCCACCTTTGGAGCCAGGATGAGATGGCGCACTGAGGAGCAGAGAGAAGCGAGTGGCGGAGAACTCAACCTACGAGGCACGCTGGTGTTACCCAGTCACACCGAGGGGCCACAGGCTGAGGCGGGAGGCAGAGAGAACACCTTCCCTACAGCCCCAGATCGCCACCCTCCATTTCTGTCGCTACCTGCAGTGTCCACCGGCATCACGACTCTTCATTAAAAAAATCCAGGTTCCTGGTGGTTTCTGTAGCTCCGTGGTTAGTGCTCAGAAGGGAGTGAGGAAAAGGAGTCTGTGCTGAGGGACTGAGTTAGGAGTCCAGAGTAGGAACGGAAGACTAAGGACTTGGTGGCTGTCTGCTAGTGTGCCCCCCCCAGGAATCTTTCTTCCAAGTCACAGTGTCATCACACACTCTCACCATCCAGGAATCCCAGCTCACCAAAGCTGGGATCTCTGACAACAGACCGTCCTATCCTAGGCTCTAGGGGTCAGAGGGGCTTCCCATCTGTAGCGTACCCTGTCTGATTTCCCTAGCCGCCACAAACAAGGACTCTCTGGTGCCTTCTCCTGTACCTAACTGTAGTGGGCCAGGAGGGCCCTCTCTTCCGGTCTGCACTTTGACCTCCGAGGAGGGACATACTGCAGTTCCATGTCTGGCCACCAGGGGACTCCTTCCCTCATCTCTGCCTGGCTGCTCAGGTCCTAAGTCCTTGCTCTCTGCTCCAAATTACTTCCTCTCTTACTGGAGGCGCGGGAGGGGAGGAGGAACATTCCCTGAGTCCTCTGCATGGGCCCTCTGTCCCTCCCCAGAGGGCAAGCGTGTGTCAGGGACCCCAGTCTCTCCCCACACTCCCAGTCAAACATCCCCAAGACTCATTCTTTCTCCAAGGCGGTCCTGCCCGTGGTCTGACCTTTGGGGTCAGTTCCTTTTCCTATCTCGATGATGTTTGGGCCCAAAATCTGGGAGGGGCTGAAACCAGGGGGAGAGGAGTAGGTGTAGTGAGGGGACAGCCCTGGGTCCTTGAGTTGTTACCCCGCCCCCACGCAGCCCCTTAAAGGAGCAAAGAGCAAGATTCTGAGCCAGGGTGGAACTTGGCTTTTAGGGTGGTGTCAATGGCAGTTCCTGAGCTAAGCCGACAGGGAAGTAGCTGGTCCTCAGGACTAGCCCCCACAGAAGCTGAGCGGTCTGGACGGTCCCGTTCACCTGCCCCTGGAGAGACCCAGCTCTACCCTCTGATCCCCGGGTATTATCTGTCACGAATGCCAATGGCTGGTGCAAAGTGCAGTGTGGTTACCTCCTGGGGCACAGTCTGGGGGCAGGCATGCTCAGCCTGCCTGTGGCCGTGGGGACCAGCAACTTGGGGTGCGTTAGGAAAGGCAGCACCTAGCCACAGGGCTTTTGCTACGAACACATCAGTAGGCAGGGAGTGAGGGGTGTGCAAAGAGCGCACTTACTGTGCACTTTTGCATGCCTGTAGTCATAGATACGCCCAGTCACACACACACAAACAGAGAGAGAAAGATCGCCGGGGAACCTGACAGGGCTGGTTCATGCCACAGAGCATAGGGTGAGGCTTCGTGCCTGGGCAGCCAAGAAACCCACCCTTCCCTGCCTCACGGGCTCCTCCCAGCTGGCCTGGCTCCAAAGCATGTCTCAATGTTTTGTCTCTTTCCAGCTCTTTGATAGAACCTGGCCTTAAGTTCCCGAGGCAAATCTCAGTCTGCCAGTAGACCATTAACCCGGGGCTTTGACAGATTGGGGTCTCCACCCTGCCCTATAGAGGAGGGAGTCCGGGCCCCAATCCTCACTCAAAGCAAACATGCTATACCGAGGGCTGCTGGGAGGTGGGGGTGGGGCTCCCAACACACCCAAGCCTATGGCCCTCTGGGAAAGGGCAGAGGACCCAGGCAGAGAACTCCAGAAGGTCACCAGCCCCATTCTTCTGCCTCCGGTGCCCTGAGCCATCTCCTTGAGGATGGACTAGCGCTCTGACAGATGCCCACACGTATCTGGGGAAGACCGAACCCCTGCCTGGCAAGGAGAAGATGGTCTTCAGCAATGGAACTCTGGAAAGGGTTTTTGCTCTAAACCTGGGGGTGGGAAATGTCTTATCTATAGAGTCCCGACTCTGCGTGGAGGTCCACAGTCCACACGACTGGATATGGCTATAAGCAGGAGTGAGCCTTGGGACCTCCCGCTGATTGGCAGCTCCCACACGGAGCATGTGACCATGTGCCAGGCACTGCTTTAGATAGTGTAGTCGGCTAACCTTCACATCAGCCCTGTGAGACACCCCCGTGCTATTGGGAGGAGGCGCTGAGTTACAGCGAGTCCAATGACTTCCCATGGTCCCAAAGCGGGGGAGGAGGGAGGTGGGACTTCATTGAGGAAGTTTGCCAGCATCCAGACTCTCATTCACTATTTCCTCGGCACCATTTCCAGTAATAACAATGCCAAATGTACCATGCCAAATGCTTTATCAGAATTTGTCACACATTCTCAGAAAAAGCTTGGAGGTAGACCTCTAGGAATGGAGCTCCGGAAGGTTTGGGACACTAGGTTATATGGGCCAGAGATTGATGGCTGTGGGCTTCACAGGGGACCCCAGTTCCACTTGCCTTGGGGGTGACTCTTTTCTAAGATCGGTCTTGCTTCAACTGTCTAGGAGGGTCTCCACTAGGGTCCTGCCTGTATACCATGGAGATCCTTCCCATATGCCTACCAAAAGGGGAAGCCATTATGTGAGAGGCAAGACAGACCCACATGGGCAAAAGGGAGGCCTTCTTCAAATAGTTGGACCTAGGCTGAGAGTGGAAGCCCAAGCCCAAGACCTTCTTGGGGAATGCCTGGTGTGAACAAACCCACAACAGCTGTGTGGGCATGCCTCTCTCTGCAGCTGGCGATGGCAGGATATTCTTCCCTCCTGGTTAGGAACAACCAGGGCAGGATGCCACCTGCTACCACCCTGCCTATCTTAGAGTCCTCAGGAGGCCAGCTGGTATCTTCCCTTTCTTTCATGAGGTGCCCAGTTCCCACTGGTCCCAGGGCCCCAAGCCCAGCGGTGTGTCTGAATCTCATTCAGCGGCTGGCACACTCCCGGTAAACCTGTGCTCAGAGTTTCTGGGGCTAAAGTGTCATTCGGAAGGAGGGGCCAGGTTAAACGTTAGCCACAATGGCCCCCCGCGAAGTGAGTCACACCCCCCACGGGGCTCTGGGCTGGGCAGCCATGGGGGCAGTTTTGTTCCAGGTGGGTGGCCAAGCTGCTGAAGTCTGGGACAGGTCTCTGGGACCAGTGCAGATGGCGGCTTCCTCTGCTGACCCCCTCAGGGTTCTTTTTCCTCAAAATGTTTACCAGCCCGTGGGGCCTGTGCTGCAAGGAGGGGCAGGGGGTTCTTTATTCCCAGGATATATACCCAAGCTGGCTTGTGGCCCTAGACCCCGAGACCAAGGCCGGAGCAGGACAGGATGGACTTCGGTGTCCCTAAGGCACTGGCACAGAGTGCTGGCCAGGGTCAATGTGTGGAAGCATTCGGAAGGAAAATGACTTGCTCAAGGTTGCATGGGACTAGGACACGGGTCCCCTCACTCCAGCCTGCTTGGTTTTTCCAGCCAGAGGCTGAGGCTGGGGTTCTGAGGAGCTTGCCCATCTCAGGACCCCCGCCAGACTCCCGTGCCAGCAAGAGGCCTCTCCCAGCCCTTCACTTTGGGTTCAGGAGAGGTGTGCCTCCCCTGGGTGACAGGCAGGTGTTTCACCGTGGAGCCCCTGGGGGGGAAAGTGTGTGAATGCCATGGCTGCTTAGAGAAAGGGTAAGCTGGGTTATGCGGCACACCACGGGGAGCCGGCTGCCACTGGTTAGTGAGGTATACACACTGTGTGGTCTGGTGCCAGCGCTCCCCTGAGGATGTCCTCCCAAATGGCTGTTTGTGACGCTAGCTCATTGGCTGTGCTCTGCGGAGGCACCTGTACCACAGATGCTTGGGGATCCCAGAACTAATGCAGAAAAGGGAAAAGAGCTTTCCCTCGTTCCAAGGCATGCATGCCTCCAAGTTGCTACCTTTGTGTGTTAATTGTTTTCTGATGTCTTTTAAGACAAGGTCTCCTTGTAGTCTGGGCTGACCTTGAACTCAGATCTTCCTGAGACATGCACTCTGGCTTAAGTCACAAATTAAGAAACTGGCAACCAACTGGCCGTGAGGTGTGTGTGTGTGTGTGTGTGTGTGTGTGTGTGTGTGTGTGTGTGTGTGTGTGAAGGGCAAGGGTCGGGGCGGGGGGGAAGAGAGCTTAGGGGAGCAGGAGATCCCAGCTGGATCAAGAACAGAGAGGGAGAACAAGGAAAGAGAGACCATGATAAATGAAGACCCCATGGGAATAGGAAGAAGCAAAGTGCTAGAGAGGTCCCCAGAAGTCCACAAAGATACCTTCACAATAGACTACTGGCAATGGTCGAGAGATAGCCCTAATTGACCTACTGTGGTGATCGGATGGCCAAACATCCTAACTGTAGTGATAGAACCCTCATCCAATGACTGATGGAGGCAGATGCAGAGATCCACAGCCAGGCCCCAGGTGGAGCTCCAGGAGTCCAACTGTCGAGAAAGAGGAAGGATTGTATGAGCGAGAGATGTTGAGACCATGATTGGAAAAAGCACAGGGACAAATAACCAAACTAGTGGAACCACTGAACTATGAACCAATAGCTGAGGAGCCCCCAACTGGATCAGGTCCTTTGGATAAGTGAGACAGTCGATTAGCTTGAACTGTTTGGGAGGCCCCCAGGCAGTGGGACCGGGACATGTCCTTAGTGCATGAGCTGGCTGTTTGGAACCTAGGGCCTATGCTGGGACACTTTGCTCAGCCCAGGTGAAGGGAGGAGGGGACTGGACGTGCCTCCAGGAGGGGTCTAAATCTACCAGACTGAGCTGAATCACCAGGGGAGTCCTTGCCCTGGAAGAGATGGGAATGGGGGGTGGACTGGAGGGAGGGTGGAGGGAGGAGGGAGGACAGGGGAATCCATGGCTGATATGTAAAATTAAATTAAGTTATAAAATAATAATTAAAAAAAAAAAAGAAACTGGCAACCACTTCAATAACCAAAAGCCAGGGACCACTGACCTGGGGTCCTTAGGTTGTGGGTGGTTGTTGTTTTAGGTTTTTTTGTTGTTGTTGTTGTTGTTGTTTATTTGTTTCTCCAGCAGTGCCCAAAGGCACAGTGGCTGCCCAGTGGAGATAAAAAA